TTTAATGGAGTTGTTACTTTACCACTAGCAGCTTTCACAATTGGGTTTAAGGATCAATAACAACAAACTCAGGATTAAATCTGAGCACCCTCTGCCGGTCAGCAATGAAGAGCCCAAGTCGAGCAATTTTGCACCATCTATCAGTCCTGACTTTTATATATTGATGCAGCACAACTGTGCCACTGACAACTACTACACAAAGGAGCAACAACTGGGCATCCTTAAACACCAGATGGGGTTTATCCCATAAAGACATTGCACTGATTTTTTTCAATTGGGGAGTTCCCACTTTAGAATAGCCCATTTTCAAAAACCAGCTCTTACATGTTTGCATGCGTGCTACGAGCATGCATATGTACACAAGTATATATAAAACACACATGAATTTATGTCTATGTATTCTGTATATCTGCATATACAGATATATACACAAATATTTCCTTAACTGCCTTCTTTCACAAACTGGCTTGCCTCTGCTTTTCCATTTTCTTACTCATGTAAGGATGATATATTTTTAACCACTCTGAGTGTATTGTACACACATTCAGCCTATATGGAAGCACATATCCATAAAGCAGGCCACTTTTTGTGTATCCCAAGCAAAGCCTATAGCCATCCATTATAAAAGGGCTAGGTCAGCAGCATTTAGCTCTTCTCTCTCCAAGGAGAGATGCCAAATAAAGCAAATTTGTGCAGAAGGTACTATGTGGGCTGCTTGCAGCTGCTCACTTTCTTAAAAAAAAAAAAAAAAAGGAAAAAAAAAGAAAAATCTCTGAATGAAGCCTCCTCCTTTGTCAGGCTTTCCATAAATACAGTTCTACGGCGTGTCAGGAAGTTAACACATGCTATAGCTTCCAAACAGCAATGCTATGTATCCTACAAATGAAGACTGTCCAGGTCAGCCTTCTTTCACTTAAGCAAACCCATAAATGTTCCTTCAGAGTCCTCCTGCCTAGGCTGGCAGCAATTGTAATCATTCAATATATAGCCATGTGTGTAAGTGCTCCTCCCAAGCGCCCAGTCTCTACTTTAGGGCCCCAAAGGCAGTGTCTCCTGCACAAAGGAGGGTATCGCACTGAGCGGCTCCGGTGGGACAGGAGTAGCTGCAAGATGGAAGAGGGAACGAAAGTGCCCGAGTGAGGACTGCAGTGTGCAACAACGGTGCATAAACCACCCTTCAGAGAAAGCCATTACCTGCTTCCACACTACAAACTCAGCTCGCTGGTTGTTAAAAGCATTTCAATGTGAAAAACAAAATTACTTCAAAAACGATGATGTGACTGAATTTCAGATAACAGGGAAATTCAGTTTATTAATCATTGGGTTAATCTATTTATTCACCTTGAAAAAAAATTACTGATCAGGAGAAAGTCTATTAAAAGAATACAATGATTCAGCTGCCACCTTCCTCTCTGAGTAAGCAACCAGAAGATGCCCCTTTGAACTCTGCATTAATAAAATTCTCATTAAATGCAAACCTGCACAATGTTATCTTAAAGAGGCTCATTAGCTTCAAAAAATTACTCTTCTCCTAAGTTGCTTATTTCTTTATAGGTGAAAAGGTGAATTTTCAAGGCACTAACTGCTGGGTCCTAGATTAGCCAAGCAGTGCTACACATCTGGCAGTTCATCATACCTTGATTATTTGCACATAGTGTACAGACAAATCTGTGGAGAGGAGTTGTCATCCTTGTTACGGGTAGGATAGTAGTAGGGAATCACAAACTCCAGCAAGGCGTGAAAGATTTCAGCCTTCTTCAAATTTCCAATTTAAGTCGTAAAGAAATTGTGAATTGTCTTTAAGAAGGAGAGGTATAAAGGGCAGGTAGGGCCACAAATGTTTCTTAGTACTTAAGCATTTTTTTTTAATGGAAAGAACCTTGGAAATGGAAAACAATTTCTGATTTCTGCTCTTCTCACTTAAGTAAAACTTAGGAAAACCAGATAAACTACAGCAACAACAAAAACCATGAGCAGGCATGATGGGGAAGAGTGTCACAATAAAGAGGACAGTTAATACCACAACAAGATATACAGGTGGAATCTCCCTTTAGCTGAGGTTAGACAAGCATGTGCCAGTGATCCTTTAGGTGCTCCTCCTCATTTTCCCTCTGTACAGGGAAATGAATTAGATGACCTCTCAAATCCAGCACTGCAAGGCCCCAACAGGTCTCCATTGTAGAAATCTCCTCAACAGCTACTCCTTTACCACAAAGGCAATGCGCCCTTGAGAAGCTGCAGACCTCTTGCCTTCTAGCTGAAATTCATGTACTTCAGGATTTAAGAAGCTTCTTAAACTCCACCACATGCGCAGAGACATGTGTGACTTACATCTGTTATAGCTGCCACTAACAGCCCTAGGATAAGGAAATTTTTGATAGCTGTTATGAGACAGATGTAAACAAACATATGACTGACACTAATAGAGAAAAAAAAAAAAAAGGTAATCCTTGCTCATAAAAATATTTAAGAATGACGAACTTGAGGGAAAGATGCAATGTAAGATGATTTCTGTAAACTCACACTCCGCATGGCAAGGACACCCAGATAGGAATAGTTTGCAAAGACAACCCTCTGCGGGGAAAAGCATGATCAGCAGGACGCTGAGGCAGTGGCAGCTAAGACAGGTTCCTGGCAGTATATCATTGCCAGTCCATATAGCAAATATGTCTTATGATAATACGGTAATGCCTCAACATATTTGGTTTCTTTAACGAAGCCACCAGCTGGACAGTCCTAAAAGATGGATTTTTAAGCATCTTTTCCCCATTTCTCTTAAGGAATTTGGGCTTGCACAGAATCATGCAGGTGCTACAGCACACCAGAGAGCAACAAAGGTGTGTGCTCAGCTCCAGCTTATGTTGCTGGCCTAAGCCTGCAAGGAAGCCTTACCACCAACTCTTCCTACAGTCACTGTGACAGAAGTGGGACAGCCAACAGCCCAGGACAAAAGGGTCTTTCCTAACTGCCTGCAGAAAGCGTTAGAAGTCTGCAAGCATTCCTGGAGGAATAATCCCTGCTCATTTTCTGCTGCATGACTTGAAGCTTCCAGGTTTCTAAATTCAACGTCTTAAGGCCAGAAAGGACCATTATATCATCACAGACCCATGATTTCATCCAATTTCGCTGTAGAAAGATTTTAAAGACAAGACCAATATTTTCATCTAAGGCATGCTCTCCACCCCCGCCAAAAAAAGCATGTAGCCCTAATCAACACTACATAGTGTGAAGCTTCAACCAGCTTCATCATTAGCAGAAGTACCTTTGAATTTGGCCATCTTCCAACTGGCTGCTCTGAAATCTACTGGACTGAAGGATCCTTCAAATGTAATATTTTCATCACAATGAAATAAATAAGGAGATGAAATATCTCCTCTCCTCTTCAGAAACAAGGAATAAGTCAAACAGACTAAGTCTAAACTCTCTCCAGGCCTCGAATCATTGAATCATCTCTAACATACACTTTGTCTAATTTCACTGAACGAAAAGCAGTCATTAATGAAAATTAAGCTAAGCCTAATGAAAGACCAGACGAAAGCCTAATGTTCATGAGCAGTTGAGTAGAGGAGGGAAAAAAAATTTGCTACTCTAGGCTATCAAGAGTCTAGAAGATGCAGAGTTTTCACAGCTTCCAGATAGTACTCTACACTGAACACGTCCGATGCAGCTTGTCTCAGGTGCTGCTTGTTTGGCTTATCTTGTCTTAGTTGCATATTGATCTTCATAAAAACAGCTATTAAGTCAACAGCCAACAAGGGAAAAAGCAAAAACCTCCCTTATGGAAACCAGAGGGGAGCACAAACCCTTGGTGACCAGTTGTATCTCTTGCCAGCACAGACTTCTCTCCCTGGATATGCAGATAATTCCCAGGGCAGACACTTTGTGTTGCTTTAAATGACATTACTTTGCCAACAACTACCTGTTCTGCTGCTTCACACAAGGAGCATTATCTGCCCACGAGCATTCATTTATGTCTGTTTGCGAAAAATAAAAATAAGGATAGGAACAAAATGAATCTCTGAAACCATACGTGAGGTTATAAAGCCTACAGACCTACTAAGGGAACCTTTAAGGTGGTTTATAGACACATAAAATGCATAGTGACTTGAAAGATGCCCTCAGAGAATTTACCCTGCACGATGTCTTTCATAGGGATGACAACCTCGAGCCGTGTACACAGTAGTAAGTTACCTGCTGCTTTGTCAAAAGACATCATTCCTCTCTGAAAGGGCACCTGTGAAGTGACTACGCTAGCAATGGACGGACTTAATCGGTGTAAATATTCGTATATTTTATGGTTTGCTTACAAGTCAGAGGCAAATAGTAAAATTTCTGCATCAGGTTTCTTCCCTTTTCCCATCAAATTGATTAAGATACATGATCCCAGCACTCCACCCTCATCAGTCCTAATATCGTGAAAGAATCCAGTACAAGAAAAAAGGAAAAAAACCCCTCCAGCCTCATAAGGAGAGCAGAGCAGAGCTTCTGTCCTTGAACAGGCAAAAGAGGTTTAAAAGAATATTGAACCGTCTTTAAATAATCAGTTTTAAACATGCATTAAAATTTTGCAATGTTAACAGTGGCCTGGAATATGCTTATTATTGCTGGCTTATAGTCCCCTTCGCAGCTTCACAGAATTGCAATAGAATCACAGAACAGAAAGAAATCCATTAGGCCAACAATTGCCCTGGCAGCACAGCATTGTTCCTTACAGCACAACTTTTCTCAAGGGTGCTGTGAGGATTAATTCATTACAGCTTGTGTCATGCTTTGAAAGTACTCAGTCTACAAAAGAACTAGGAATTATTAGAAAAAGGACAATCCAACCCTAGCGACCCCATCTTTATCTTCCCTTGGCCTTGTTTAGAGAAGCAATTTCAGCTAACAAAAGCAAAAAATTTCAAAACCAAACTCGATACAACAAATGTGAAAGTGTCATGATAAGGATGCAGTCACACTGGGCAAGATCTCCAAACAGGTTATTAGCTTCTATTTCTTACCTAATATTGACTAATGCATGGGTCACCTTGCTTGCAGGCTCCTTCCACTGACCAGCATTGGTAGAAAGCCTTAGAACTGAAAGAAAAAACAAAAGACGACAGTTAACGGTGCTAGCACTGAATGGGCAATGCAACATTTTTTTAATTCTAAATGTCAAAAATACTTTGTTGAGATGGCAGACTCGTGAAAAAACAAACAGCCAAAATAACCCGCGGCTGTCGAACATGAAGTAATATGGAAAAGGTATGCAGGACAAAATGAACGGGAGAAAGGAAGCAGACCGGAGAAAAGAGAAAGGAAACAAAAGAAAACCAGCTCCTCTTAATTTCACCATTCTTCATTAAAGTTGGTTTCTATCAGAATTAGGAGCAGAGGCCCAGTCTATGCCATCTGCTATTCCTCCCATTATTTCTCTCCTCCAGCTCCTCCTACTCGCACAAGGTTCCACCTCAACTAGACTACAGCTTATGATTTACATCCAATCCAACAGTGATTGACTTTCTACCTTCTCCTTTATCTGGAACTGCGAGAGAGTACACATCAGTTTAGAGAAGAATGCTCCATTTAGCATCCAGTATGTCACTCTTGCACAGATGGTCTCTGACAGACTAGGGAATGGTTCTGAAAACATTCTGCAACAGGAATAATTTCTAGTGAACCTAAATCTTTGCTGCAAGCATCTCCAGAACATTTATTTAGGTCAGAATCTGTAATGCTTCTAGAGTGCAGTAACCTGTGCAGCTTTTGCTAACTATCAAAAGAGTAACAGAGTCCAGAGCAAATAATTGGGTTTTCTTCCACATTGCCTGAACAGAAGGGAATCTTTTATGAATCAGTATATCCAGGGGCTTCTGGGGTTACATCTTAGAATAAAGGTTTGCCTCACACTTACAGACAGAGGAAAAGAAATTCATCCCAATTTAGGATCATCTAGAAACACTGATGCTACAAGTGAACCTGTAGACACAGTGGCTGAAAACTCAGACCTATTATTACACAAAAGAAGTTTTCAGTTCTGCAAATCTGCACGAGCTCAGATTTAGGACCAGAAAACAAATATCAAAATTCTCTCCCTCAAAGTAGAGGGCTTCATTCACATCCATCAACAGTAGAACTAATGGATAAAGTAACTTTCCTTTTTTTCCTAACAGATGTCCCAGGACAAAGATGGAAGAGCAACCGTAGCTTAAAGGATATGCTCGGACAAAGCCAAAGAAGCTATCGGGACATCTGTCAAAACTGGCTGGTATCAAGACAGCGATTCCTCCTCTCTTTCTAGTGTTCCCATTATTTGGCATTTGCAGAAGGGGGAAAAGAGTCAGCTCTGAAGGTGTCTTACTTTAATACCTCAAATACTGTAATGAATTCAGAGAGGGTTTCCATTCAGTCATCTACACTATTAAGTCAAAGGATTTGCTGTATGTAGCAGGATGGAAAATGAATTCATCTGATAAATGAATTGTTTCAACCAGTCAAATGTGCCTGCTGCAGTCCAATTGAGCAAGTATTTCAGCGTCTTATTCTTCCATTCCAGTTTCCTTCAGCTTTCACAAGGGAGGGGTTTGAAAAATTGCTGACTAGTGAAAGTACCTCATCTTACTAGCTGGAATTCTTGGGAATAGGGAATGGGTTAGCAAAAAATCTCACCTGCTCTGCAGACAAAATAAGCCTCCTGATTCTTTGCACAAAACATGAAAACTGCAGAAAATTTATACTAGAGAAGTGTCCATTTTCTGCTTGTAACTGGTGGGAGTATTTGGCTCCTTTTATTTTGGTGAAGACAATTCTTCCCTATGTCAGCAGAGTTCTGTGACCAGCTGCCTCCTCCCCCCACCCTTTAAATCCCTTTACTGCTTAAATCACTGCTGTTGTTCATGGGGTGATCATGCTGAGAAGGGAGCAGCGGGGCTGGGGAGGAAATGTCCCTCTGGAACAAAGCAAACAAAGAACATAGATACATTATTCTCTTCACAGCTCCAAGCATGCAGGCACTGCACCAGCCCTGCTGCAGCCACCCTCCGTGTGTACCCTGCCTGATTGTGCCTCCCTGCGTTCTTTGCTTCTTTGTTCCTCTTCCTCCTGCTGGGTTTCACTTGGTGGCATTCCAGCACGCTTCTTCCTTTGAAGCATGGCAGCCTCTTCATGTTTCGCCAGCAGGCACATTCTTCAGTCCAGTGATTTGCTCGTCATCGCAAGCAGGTTTGTGGGGGCTGTTCTCTTAGTTTGTTTTAGCAATAAGCGCACTAAGTGTGATTTGTCTAGCACAGCCAGGTTCTTGTTATAAATTTCTCAAATTCTTTTCCAAATTCTTGCTCTTGATGCATGCTTCCTGGTGCCGACTGGTTGTGTAGCTTGTGCTTGCCCTCTCATTTGAGGCTGCCAAATGTGACAGATGCAAACTACAAATTGACTGAACTACACGAAGATACATGAAATATAAACTCCCACATAACTAGTTGCACCATTAAATCTGTATTTCCAGTCACAGTCAGTGGCTGCTAGGGAGGTAACACATCTCTGCTGAAAAGTCTGGTTTCAGACTGAACAAAACGTATCCCTTTAACAAGCTTATCCCTATCTCAATTCTTAAGTTACCTAGCATACTGAAACAAAACATGTCCATTCACTAAGACCATCAGCAGACAGACAGAAAAGACAAGACACAGGAACAGAACTTGCACGCACACCCAAACCATCTGTCTACAGCCTTCCTGACCAGCCAGGAGCACTCACCCATAGAATAAAGGTTGTCAAAATTCTGATGCATCCGAATGATTTCATAATACAGCTCATCATAGCTGCTGGGAGTGGGGAGAAAGGTGTCTCCGTAAGTGATGAACATGTTGAATAAGTTCACGACCTACACAGAAGTGAAACCAAGTTACAACAGATATATTACATGAAGCCTAATAGACAGAAATAAACAATATAAACAACAATAAAACAAAACAATATAAATAAATTAGCTTTCGATTCCATTATGCATTATATTACTTCATGACTTCATCTATTTCATCAGTGCAAAAGAGACAAGAAACTTCAGTACTGCCATAACTGGGGCCTGGAAAAGGAAGCGTGTACATAGGGTTCTAAAGTTTCCTAAAGTTCAATTAAGATGAATTAAGTTGCTTAAAGTAGAGAATTTACTTTTTCTATACTCACCATAAGAGCCAGGGTGAAGATGTTGTGTTTAGCCAGCAAAACAGTCTCATTAGACATGAGGAACTTCAACAAGTTGATCAAAGCTAAGAGAGAAGGAAAAGATATATATATATGTTTTAATATATGCATACTAAAGTTAAAAGCAAAGGCATTCTCAAAAAGTCACTTAGCAAATGACAGTTAGATGACTTAACAAATGACAGTTATTTTCACATCCCAAGTTTATTTTTCCTCACTGACTTCCCAAACCTGCTCAGGGTCAAGGTGAGCTACTTGTTAACTTAGTGAGTTCACCAGGGATTTTTCTACCTTCCAGATCCTCAAGTGAGGGCTGGAAACCTCCTCTGTCTCTTTTCCGCTTCATACATCGGCAGCACGATGCACACAGAGTCAGCCCCAAACTGTCACTCCTGTTGCTACATGAAGCTGAAACAAGACACAACAGAGGACGGCACTGCTTTGCTGCTCCCTTATCTGAGTGCCTCTTCACGCGTCTTAATTGTGTCAGTTATCTAGGGCTGTGCAGCAAAGACAACAGATCTGGTTCAGGCTTGTCTTAAAGCAAAACAAAGGCTCATAGCACCCATGATGGGACAGTGATCATGGCAATTAACAAAAGGGTTGGCTAAAAGAGCTTTAATCACACAAACTTTACAAACAATTGTGTTCTGTACACTTGGAAGACGGAAATTTCTTAGTGTTGTTGCCTGCAAAAATTTTAAAGAGAAAGTTATTTTCTTCCGTGTGATGTCTGCCTAAAAGAAATTCTTAATGTACTCTCTGCTCTGAAACCAGTGGGTTTAATGACTTAAGACTTCTGAATTAGGTGGCCTGCAAAGTCAAGCTGAAAAGCTATAAAGGCATTTTTAAAAGGTTCTTAATTACCTACTAATTGGTAACAGCATCTAAGAGGTAATGCCAGGCAGGCTTTTAATTCTTACAGGCACAACTTCACTTTGTTAAATCTACTCTTTCTCCCCTGCCCCAGCTTGTGGCAGCACCTGCATGAAACACGTCGCTGCTCACATGCCCAGGCAGTCAAGAACCAACATCAAAATAGGAGATAACAGCCCTGCAGCCCGGGATCAAAGTCACATAAACAGCTATTGCCCACTGCCAAAGAGCAGATTTGAGACATGTCATTTGAGAAGGGAAAAACCTAGCCACGGTTTTAAAAAAAAAAACTTAAATACAATCTCAAATTCCTAAGCAGTATAAGGATATTTGGTTGCAGTCACCTCCAAATGCTGCCACTATCCATGTTACACACTACACAGTAACCAGTGAGAAAAGCAACTGCAGTTTGGGAGGATGCTGCAGATTGGATAGAGCACAGGGAACAGGAACCCAATAAGCACAAAATTATGGTCTCCCCGACCTCAAAATCCCAGAGTATTCAGAAAAAGCAAAATGAAAAATCTATGGCAAAGAAATGGATCTCAAGAGATTGGCAAAGACTGGAATTAAACACATTAAAGACCCTGAATACAGTCCTGAAATCACTGCCTTCCAATGCCAGAAGTTCTCCAGTATCAAAATTTTACTTATGTCCCCCAAAAAGGAAGCTCACGGGCCTAATGAGGCTGTTTATTCACTACCGAGGGAG